TACTTTCCTTATCGTGTTCAACATATTGCTCCCATTCACAAACGCCACATCCAGACTTGCCGCGTTACCACAGACCTCCTTGGGCTCCATAATAGCTTTCCAAAGAGACTCCTTAAGACTTCTCTCTCATTAATATCTAATTTCACCACTCTGTGTGGAGCAAGGGCACTCCCCACCTTTTCTTATCTTTCTAACCGTGTTCTCTATAATCGTTAATGAACCATCTTTCTCGTCGTTATCCTCAAAGAGACCCCGGTAACTCTTCATTAGGAATTTCTTCCATGAGCTATCCCTTCCTGTATCTCTATTAATCAGGAGGATGTTTTCCCCTCCCTTCCTTCCTTGTTTTATTTCTGTTCTGGTATAGACTTCATTTGGCCAATTATATTCTATGATCTTCTTTTGCTCCTCCTCAGTCCTGGATTCCATCAATCTCAATTTTATTAAATCCGTCATTGCCTGCTGTGAATACTGCCAGTCCCCAGACTCCACTTGGACACCTGCCTCTACTCTGGTAATATTTTCTGTTTGGGTCTCCGTCTCTATGGTCAGGACGTCCGGTGTCACCACTGCCGATACTTTATTCATCCTGCTTAGGGTTTGGAGGACTTTCCTTGCCTTATCCGTGGCCAACTTACTAACTAGTGACCTTAACGCTCCCGCTGTTTCCTTTATATCGACTTCCCAATCAGTTTGGCCAACTTTCTAACCTCCTTTTCTATTGCCCATATCGACCTCCTGATCATTGTCGCAGTAATTACTTCTGTAGACAGTGGAACTTGATTCATATCCGGGCTGGAGCTAACACTGTCATTCCTTTCCTCTTTTGAACGTCTGACAGTCCTGGCATCGTCATCACACCAAGAAGGCTATGAAGACTAACGTGAGTCTTGTTGATTATGCCACCATGAGAACCAGCTACAACCATGCAGAGGATGGCAGAAATCTCTTTAAGACGACCACAGCGAATAGTAAAGCTTACTAAATCCTTTGGGGCCTTCAATTAGAAGCCCTGTAATAGGAAGAAAATACGAAATTTAAGTTAAAAGAACAACAGAACAGAGGAACTGGTACTTACTCGGATGAAGGACGGCTTCCAGAGTGATCCAAGAAGAAAAGCGGCTTGGATTTATGTGAAAATCATTAACTGATGTTATATAACTCGTGCAGGAAGATTGCTTAAATACAATCATGCTTAAGAGGTGAGGCGAATCAAATATTATATTCGTTAGAGATAAGTGAAGCGAATTACGACGTAGCTATTGATTTGTTAAAAGAACGGTATGAAAATAAGCGAGTATTAATACACAGTCATGTGTATTCGAGTTACCAACCAAAAGAATCTCATATTTCTCTAAGAAAGCTTATTGACAATTTTTCCAAAAACTTTCGCGCATTGAAAAGTCTAGGCGAACCAGTAGAACACTGGGATACACTTTTAGTGCACTTAATTTCTATAAAATTAGATTTACAAACACGTCGTGATTTTGAAAATACAATAAAAAGTAACATACCGAAGCTAGAAGAATTACTAACATTTTTAAAAGGCAAATGCCAAATGCTGGAAACCTTAGATTAAAAAATTATCAATAAAGGTACGGTGTTTAAAGTTAACTCCGAGAAACAGTTAGTTCACGTGGCAACACAGGAACAACAAAAAATTAATGTTTGTGAATTTTGTCGACAGGGAACACATTTTACTTACAAATGCCAACAACTATTAGCGATACCTATCAAATCACGATATTTTGATTTAAGAAAAGCCAATATTTGTACGAATTGTCTAAAATCGGGACATACAGCGGACAAATGTACAGGCAAAAAATGTCAGATTTGCGATAAACGGCATAATACGCTTTTGCATGACAAAGATTTCTATAACAATCGTCAAACAAACAAGTCAAGTAACGGAGAAAGTAGTACACATACAAACATGAATAATGAACGACAAAGTTGTCAAAATCAATCTACATCTAATCAAAATAATACCGGCGATTCAAATATTACATCAAGGACAAACGAATCTGATAAAAACAAAGTATATCAAACGTCTCCTATAACATTAGCTTCACATTACGAAATACAAGAAACAATTCAGATACTGTTAGCCACAGCTGAAATTTACGTATTGGACGCAAACAAAAAACCTATAAAATGTCGCGCTTTATTAGACTCGGCGAGTCAGTCAAACTTCTTAACAACAGAATTATTTCAGCGGTTGAACTTAACAAGCACAAGAGTAAAAATACCGGTCAGCGGTATAAATCAAACAGCTTGTAATATTTCACACAAGGCACAAGCTAAAATAGAATCGCGAAATCATTCATATAAAGCGTCTATAGAATTTTTAGCTTTAAATAAGATAACCAGTTATTTACCGCAAGTTTCGTTCGATACTGCAAATTGCCAAATTCCGAATGATATTTGGTTAGCGGATCCAGAATTTAACGTATCCCAACACATGTCACATGTTACTGGGAACTGAAATATTTTTTGAGCTTCTTAACGCACAACAAATAAAATTAGGCAAACGCGGTCTACACTTACAAAGTACGAAGTTAGGTTGGATTATTACGGGTCCAATGTACATAAATTCAGACACATATTGCAATGAACATACAAAATGTTTACTTGTAACAAATAATACCTTACATGACGACTTGGACCGATTCTGGGCGTTAGAAAATATTCATAATTCACATGCCAAATTATCTAACGAAGAATTAGATTGTGAAAAGCATTTCAGGGAAAATTACGAACGAGACGCTACGGGGCGTTTTACAGTTAAATTACCCTTTCGAGAAAACATGTACGAGTTAGGAGAATTATTAGACATTGCAACTAAACGATTACATTCGGTAGAAAATAAACTAATAAAAAATCCAGAGCTACGAAAGCAATATACGGAGTTTTTAGAAGAATACGAGGCAATGGGTCATATGACGAAATTAGAAGCGGATGAAATTCGTTCAGCAATCATTCGAAATTATTTACCGTACCACCCGGTATTAAAGGAGTCAAGTATAACTACGAGGTTGCGAGTAGTTTTCGATGCTTCTTGTAAAACAACAACCAGAATAAGCTTAAACGACATTTTAAAAATCGGCTCAAAAGTACAATGCGATCTTGTCGATATCGTGATAAGAATGCGTACACACCAAATTGCAATAACAGCTGATATCGCAAAAATGTACCGTATGATAAATATACACCAATCCCAACGCGATTATTATCAACGGATTGTTTGGCGATCAGACAGCAATCAAGAAGTTTTTCATTTTCGTTTAAATACTATTACATATGGCACAGCCAGTGCTTCATTTTTGGCAACACGTACGTTACATCAAGTCGGTTTAAATTGTAAAAATAACTATCCCCAAGCTGGCCGAGTAATAATGCAAGACTTTTACATGGATGACTTATTAATGGGCGTAAGCACGTTAGAAGAGGCGATTCAATTAAAACAACAATTAGAAAGAATTGTATCTGAATACGGTTTTACATTAAGAAAATGGTTATCGAACGACATGCGAATATTTGAAAATAACGAACAATCCCACGAAAATATACCATTCCAAATTAACGACAGTAAAGAGGCAAAAACTCTCGGTCTACTATGGGAACCTCGCGACGACATATTATTGTATAAATTATAAATTAATAAAAATAGTGAAACTGTAACAAAGCGCATTATTTTATCAAGTATAGCGAAAATATTCGACCCTCTAGAGCTCATTAGTCCTTGCTTAATTACAGCAAAAATAATACTTCTACGATTATGGCAAAACGGTTTGGATTGGGACGAAATAGTACCGGACTCAATAAAAACTGATTGGTCAAATCTTATAAAGCAAATTGTAAACTTAAATTCAATTAAGATTCCCCGTTGTATTGTTATACCGAACGCAGTAAATATAATTCTACACGGTTTTTGCGATTCATCGGAGCTAGCGTACGGAGCATGCGTCTACTTATGTTCTAAAAATATACAGGGTAAAATTAATGCGCATTTAGTATGTGCTAAATCCCGATTGGCACCTTTAAAAAGCATGTCCTTACCTAGGCTTGAACTATGCGGAGCTCTTCTATTAGTTCAACTAACTAATAAAATTAAATCCGTTTTTCGTTTTAAAATAAAGAAAATAATATACTGGACAGATTCTCAAATTGTTTTAGCTTGGCTCAACGCGGAGCCTAATAAGTGGAAAACATTTGTGTCAAATCGCGTGTCAGAAATACAAGAACTCTCGGAAGAACATAGCTGGCGACATGTAGAATCATCACAAAACCCGGCAGACATAATATCACGGGGTTCAAGCCCTGACGAGCTAAAAAATGCATCACTTTGGTGGCACGGTCCGTCTTGGATTGCAAAAGACGAAACGTATTGGCCAAAAGGACAAATAATCAATATATCCGAAATACCCGAAGCGCGAAAAGAAAAAATTATACTATCATTTCCTGTAATACAAAATTGCGACATTATTTCACGTTTTTCTACATTTAAGAAACTACAACATGTGACTGCTTACGCTTTGCGATTCATTCACAATGCGAGTTCCAGGTATAAATTTGCCGGAAAATTATCTAGCGACGAATTGAGTAATGCTACAATAAAATTATGTAAGATTGTTCAACAAGAAGCATTTAATCGTGAGTTGTCATTACTGAAACAGAATAGAACGGTGCATAATAGTAGCAAGTTATTAACTTTAAGCCCGTTCTTAGATTCGGACGGAATTATTCGCGTCGGCGGACGATTAAAAAATGCAAGTATACCGTTTGATCAAAAATACCCGATTGTACTTCCGTCAAAACATAGGTTCACAAAGTTGTTAATAACACACACGCATAATAAATATTTACACGCTGGGGCGCAATTCATTCTTTCACAACTACGTAAATAATTTTGGCCTCTCAACGGTAGGAGTGCTATACGGAGTGTTCTAAGAAAATGCTTAACATGCTTTCACGTTAAACCTACTACCATCACGCAGTTAATGGGAGATTTACCAGAGTACCGAGTGACACCCACTAAACCATTCACCTTATGCGGTATTGACTACGCAGGGCCGTATCTGATGAAAGATGGTAAGCTGCGAAATCGAACTTTCATAAAAATTTATCTATGTGTTTACATTTGTTTTACTACGAAAGCTACGCACATTGAATTAGTGACTGAGCTGTCCACAGATTCCTTTATGAACTCATTTAAACGTTTTGTGTCCCGCAGAGGATTATGTAAGCATATATATACCGACAATGCTACCAACTTCGTTGGTGCAAGTAACGAATTACGTAAATTACAAGAAGTTATCACAAATGTCCCTAATTCTAGTAGTTACCAAAATTTTGTTCAAGAAAATCAGATACAATGGCACTTTATACCGAACAGATCGCCACTTTTCGGCGGAATGTGGGAATCCGCAGTTAAATCTTTTAAATATCAAACGAATTATCGGAGATTCCAAATTAAATTTCGAACAGTTCTATACGTTAGTCACACAGCCATACTTAATTCTCGCCCCTTAATACCCTTCGCCCCTAATACCCCTATCTAATGATCCTTGCGATTTACACCCTCTCACACCTGGACACTTCCTAATCGGATGCGAATTGACAGCCGTACCACAGGAAGCAGTTTTTGACATAGCACCAAATCGATTAAACCATTATAAGCAGCTACAGTACATGATTCAAAACTTTTGGCGCCAGTGGAGTAGAGACTATTTGCATACGTTGTCTCAAATAGCTAAATGGAACAAAGGTCAGCGAAACATCGAGATCGGCACCCTAGTGTTAATCCAGGACGATAATCTTCCCCCCATGAGATGGTCATTGGGCAGAATTACTGCACTTCATCCCGGAGCAAATAAACTAGTGCGGGTAGTGTCAGTGCAGTGCAAAAATGGAACCATAAAGCGTTCAATTACCAAATTGTGTCCTTTACCTTCCAATGAAAACTAAAGAGAACTAATTGTATTATTGTTAAAATTCATATTGAAATAGAAGTGGTTATTTCAAGGCCGGCGGCATGTTAAATAGTTGTAATGCCATATGAGCAATTTAAATTTGAAAATGTTGTTGATATTGCCGCCAGAGATCCGTCATGTATTGTATCTCCACTAACGTCTCTGGCAAGGGCCAATAACGAGACAGTTCGTTTAGTATTGTTGTAATGCTCACATGTGCTTCGCACAGCAGTTATACATGTTACATGTTATTTCATTAGAATAAAATACAGTCCACTAAAAAGTTCAAAAGTGTATTTATTTCCATCATTTGAGGAAGTAAGACAAAACAGGCAGCTTTAATAAGTCGACTGAGTACGTTTCAGGAACAAAAAACGAGGCGACTTCTAGAGCGCGAAGAAATCGGGGACTCGAAACCGTCCCAGTTTTTGCGCCGATTAAGAGCTTTAGCAGAGTCTACAGTTTTCGATTCGCTCCTACGTACACTGTGGCTAGTGCGCCTGCCATCTTGTGTACAGGCAATCCTCGCGACACAAAAGAATGTCGCGTTGGACGATGTCGCGGAGCTGGCCGACGCAGTTATGGAGACAGTAATGCCTGACACAGCGCTCCAGGAGATGGCCAGATCAAGTTCAGAAGACGACAGACTGAAACTCATTGAGCAACAGTTAGTGGAGATGTCGCAGGCAATGACGAAGCTATTCACGAATAGTGAACCACGGCGACCGACGACGAGAACACCCAGATCGCGTTCGCAAGACCACTCGCGAAGCCGTGACAGTAACAGTGGTCAGTGCTGGTATCACCAACGTTTTGGTCACCGCGCTCACGTGTGCCGCGATCCGTGCACGTATCGTCTGGGAAACGAGACGGGCAGTCGATAATGGCGAACAGCGACCCGTACCCGATTCTGCGCCGTTTGTACGTTACGGATACGTACTCCAAGGTCCAGTTTCTCGTCGATACGGGTGCTGATCTTTGTGTATATCCGCGTGCGCTAGTGAAATCGTCCCGATCGAAATCGACGTACGAGCTTTCCGCGGCAAATGGTACCTCAATTGCTACGTACGGCACAGTGACAATGACATTAAACCTCCGATTGCGTCGTTGTTTAACATGGCAATTTGTCGTCGCGGATGTCTCTAAACCGATAATTGGTGCAGACTTTTTATCTTTTTATGGACTACTGGTGGACGTGCGTAACAAAAAACTGCTTGACCAAACAACGCAAATTACGTCTCTAGGCCAACTCGCGCGTTCTGCGACACCGTCAATCAGAACGATTTCCGGGGAATCTGTGTTTCATCGCCTACTTAAGCAGTATTCGGACATTACGCGTCCTGCAGCTCCTTCTGCGGCTGTACAACACCAAACCAGGCACTACATCAAAACAACACCTGATCCCCCCGTCGCTGAAAACCGCGTAAATTAGCCAGATAAATTGCGGGCAGCGAAAAAGGAATTCGACGATATGCTTAAATTAGGTATCGCCCGTCCTTCGAGCAGTGCGTGGGCGTCACCCTTACACTTCGTGCCAAAAAAGGGTGAAGAATGGCGACCATGTGGCGATTATCGTAGGCTTAACGCACGAACGCGTCTAGACCTATATCCTGTGCGACATATTCAGGACTTTTCACAATCACTTCGCTAATTGGATATGCAGATTTGGATCACCCCTGCGAATAACGACGGATCAGGGTTGACAGTTCGAATCGCACCTATTCAGACGCCTGAATAGTTTACTAGGTACTACTCATCTCCGAACCACCGTATATCACCCAGCAGCAAAGGGCATGGTAGAGCGTTTTCACCGCCAATTAAAAGCAGCGATAAAATGCCACCAAAACGATCGATGGACTAGCATTCTTCCCACTGTGCTATTGGGAATACGTGCAGCATGGAAAGAAGACATTCAAGCTACCGCGGCCGAGATGGTGTACGGACAACATCTACGCCTACCCGGAGAATTTCTTCATTCCCGCAGGACAGACGAAGAGCTCAGCACCGAAGCGAATTTTGTTAAGGACCTCAGACGTCATATGGAAAGCTTACGTCCGGCCGCAGTTAAACGCCATGGCGACAAGACGCCATTCGTTTTTAAAGACTTGGCAACAGCGACACATGTGTTTGTGCGTGCGGACGGCGTTAAAACACAACTACAGAACCCATATGATGGTCCGTTTACAGTGATTAAACGCGACGACAAAACATTCACGGTGCTAGTACGTGGTCGTGAAGTTAAAGTGTCCATAGACAGAGTCAAACCGGCGTATTGTTTGAATGATGCGACAGATACCAGGAACGAGAACAATAGCCTTCCATCAACTTCTGCCCCATTATCCGTGCCAACCACACCCAAGGCAATTACCACTAGGTCCGGCAGAAGGGTCCGTTTCCCTGACCGGCTGCAAATTCCGTGATGGCATCCATACTGGCAGGGGGGTGTGTGGGTACACATGTTTGCAAGTGACCCATATTAGAAAGCACAACGTCAAGAGCGCCGCAGGACGCCGCCGGACGAACCAGCGTTCCAAGAAGGGCTGCTG